TCCATGAAGTCATTCCCTGCGGTCACGTGAGAAGTAGCCCCAGAGTCGCCTCTTGTCATCTCTGCTGTCACTATTGGACTCCAATCCAGCCTCCTCGCTAGACCCGATTTCTGAGTCGGAGTCGCTCTCATCCTGGGCTCTTGAACATTTCAATCGCTACGCCTGTTCTGCCTGGCTTGGAAAGGCTCTCTTGCGTGAATCGGACACGCTATCAGGGGCGTCCAGAGGTGCGCCAGTCAGTGTTTCTGGAGGTAGATGGGGAAACATGCCTAGATTTTTTGCTAACCTTTCTTGGTGCAGCCCCAGGGGATCGAACTCATGACACAGGCTGTGTGTTGTGGACCTCGTAGGTTCTGTGTCTGAGGGGCACGTCAGAAGTGCTTGGGAAATTGTTTGGGACAAGGCAGAGGACATAGAGCCCATTGCGGCCATAATGGCATGGGTCACAGACTTCTGTAGCACCAAGGACTGCGCTTCGACCCTGTGGGGGTCAAGGTCCCCTGCCACAAGGGAAAAGCCAGCCGTAGAAGGGGCATCACCCAATATTTGTTCGCATGCGAATGTCTGACCATCTGGCCTCCAAACGGCATGAACAGAGGCGCAAAACAGAGTTAAAAGGGCGCTAAATGGATCCGGGACCAAGGGGAATCGGATAACGGGAAAAACACACCAATATACCTGAACGGACAGGATTCAGGCTAAGGTAAGGAAAAAGTGATAGACAGGGGTCACACCACCCCCAAGGAGGGTAGGGGAAAAAGGAGAACCTTTTACTGGTCTGGGGCCCAGAGTATAGAACACCACGCAATAATAAACCGGTACAATAACAGTCCTACAAGGTAAAACCCATAACTAACCAAATAGTGCTAAAACATACAATTATAAATACACCAATTATGATTAAATCTCCATAGACAAAAAGGTGGTACTTAACTGACTGTGGAGCAGCAAAGAAAGAGTAAATATGATAGGAGGTGTTGACTAAACTGGGACTTGGTATGGGAGTGGCTTATCACAATGTATACCATGTTTTCTTACTGTTTGTATTCTTTGCTGCTATTGGTGAACAGTAAAGAAAGGGATAAGCAATATGAGCCTCCATGTCTTGTTATAAATATTATGTTGCTACAAAGCAAAAAATCTCAAATTGTGTTGGGGAATGGAAAGTAATACATTGTAGCAAATGGGAAACAGAGCACAATATGCTGTTACAAATGTTAGTATCTGTCTTCTCAACAGCTAGCAGCGTACAGAATTATATGTATACACCGCAGTGCCTACAGGGGCATATAACTAAACTGTCAAAGATGGTCGTAAAAGAAACAAAATTGAATATTATTGTGTCTATTTTATCACCTGTTATATAAACCAAACATTGCATATAGTGGTGCCTTTGAGGGTGCCCAACTAACACTCTGTCATAGTGGTACAAATGTAGCAGTGATCAGGATAAGAGGGTGGGAAACGGGGAGGCAGAGCAGAAGAGAATGGTTAGTAGGATTCGGGTTAGAGCCCAATTGCAAATGTGGAGCACACTGAATACTTGTGTATAAAGCTGCTTGAAAACTGAATAAATATATACCCCTTCTTTTGATACTCTTAATGTGTCTTTTATAAACAGTGAAAACTAATGAATGCTACCATCCCTTAAAAGCACCTCAGTGCTAAATACCGCTAATAGGACACATGGTAGTAAAAAAAATTAAAAAGAAAATAACCAAAAAAGAAAAATCGAGCCATTACTGCTGCATAACAAATTAGATGTGTATTAAATCAGTCTGATAAGAGTAATAATTGAAGGAAGATGCAGTTTGAGCCTCTGACACTCGCGTTTCGCCATAGAAGGCTCATCAGAAATATAAAAATAAGTGATCTTTGTATTTTCTGTGTATTTTCGTTTGTCTATTTTTCGTGTACGTGTTTCATAGACTTGCATATTTATGTCACTTGCTGTGACGAGACCAATCTCGCCACATTGCATTGGAGAAGCCTGGTTGCTCGCCTGCTGCCTTTGGACTATGGCCCCCTTTTAAAAGACTTTAATTTTGCCTGCAGAAAAGCTGTATTCGTGCTTTTCTGCCTGGGGTTCGGTAGATTTGTTTGAATGTGTTATACCCCAGATAGGAATCCCATGGAGCCCATTCGTATGAAACTGACTGTAAAGACTTTAGCTCCATGGCGATTAAACTGTATTCGTGTGGTCTAAGCGCCATTCACTTAATAATGTGCGCTCGGACCTGAGCTATCTGGGGATATGTTACATGTCTGTGTTTTATGTAATAAATGTGACTTTATGTATTTTAAAGTGTTTTGTGTCTCTTTGCAACCATGTGCTTAATGGAGTCTTGTGTCTGTCCTGGGAGATAATTGAATTACTTATCTCCAGGATAGAAGACTCTGAAACTGGTTTGGGCCAGAAAGCCATGCTTCATTTAGTCACAAAGGACTTTTTACTAACTTTTGAACCCCTTGTCTGATTTGTGCCATTTTTGAATATGTTGTTCCCCTGAATGGATTGATTGAGAATATGTAATTTTATGTGAATGTGATGTATGGTTTTGAGTTATGAAAGTTGGGTAGAAAGTATGTTTTAACTGTTTGTATAATTGAGTTTCCTCTCAGGATAAGGGGAGGGAATATGTGGGATGTAACTGTGATATGATTGGTTGTTTTATCCCTCCCTGTGGGTGGTCCTGTATTTGAAACACTGTAATAAAAACCAGGCTGGGTGTGCCAGCACCTCAGACCACTGCTTGACCCACAACACGGAGCCTTGTCTCGTTCTTGGGGGGATTCACTGTATGCTGTTAGAGACTGATTGCCAGGAGTGTAAGCTGATTGTCTGCTTTTCCTGTTCGCCTGCTAGCAGCTATTTGGGAGGTTCCAGTTCGGGAGTTGGAGTGCTATTTTGTATCCAGTTCGTGAGTTTTGGTGTTCTGCAGTAGCTGTGCCTGGATCTCTGGAAAGGGGGCCGATCGCCTAAACGGTTTTTACCCCTTGTGTGCAAAACGGTCCGTTACAATTGGTGGCAGCGGTGGGATCATTAATGGGCAGGGAATAGAGAGCTCAGTCTCCTTTCCCCAGCGGCTGAGTGTTCTAGCGGGAGAGGAGCCTGTTACCCCCTCTCCCCAGCGACAGCTTAGAGTATTCAAAGGGGAGACAGTCGGTCTCCCCCTCCAGCAGCAGAGCTGTGCAACAAAAGGGGAGACAGTCGGTCTCCAGCAGCAGAGCGGTGTAGTTAAAGGGGAGACAGTCGGTCTTCCCCTCCAACAACCAGGCTTCAACCAGGCTACCCTCCCAGTAGCGCTGGCAACAGGGCAGAGTGCCGCTGGTCTCTGCCCATGCAGCAACCCACCCAGTCAGCGTACCCGTACCCAGCACAGCCGTGGTGAGGCACCTGGACATGGACAAGCTTCTCCTTTACCCAGGTGTAGTAACCATTTATTGTGGGTGGGCTGTGCTGTTGATTATGTTTTGTGGGTGGGCTGCTGGACTAACAAGGGCACTGACCGGCAGGAGGTCAGATACCCTGTTAGTCTGTTTGGAAAAGGGGAGAGATGTGACGAGACCAATCTCGCCACATTGCATTGGAGAAGCCTGGTTGCTCGCCTGCTGCCTTTGGACTATGGCCCCCTTTTAAAAGACTTTTTTTTGCCTGCAGAAAAGCTGTATTCGTGCTTTTCTGCCTGGGGTTCGGTAGATTTGTTTGAATGTGTTATACCCCAGATAGGAATCCCATGGAGCCCATTCGTATGAAACTGACTGTAAAGACTTTAGCTCCATGGCGATTAAACTGTATTCGTGTGGTCTGAGCGCCATTCACTTAATAATGTGCTCGGACCTGAGCTATCTGGGGATATGTTACATGTCTGTGTTTTATGTAATAAATGTGACTTTATGTATTTTAAAGTGTTTTGTGTCTCTTTGCAACCATGTGCTTAATGGAGTCTTGTGTCTGTCCTGGGAGATAATTGAATTACTTATCTCCAGGATAGAAGACTCTGAAACTGGTTTGGGCCAGAAAGCCATGCTTCATTTAGTCACAAAGGACTTTTTACTAACTTTTGAACCCCTTGTCTGATTTGTGCCATTTTTGAATATGTTGTTCCCCTGAATGGATTGATTGAGAATATGTAATTTTATGTGAATGTGATGTATGGTTTTGGAGTTATGAAAGTTGGGTAGAAAGTATGTTTTAACTGTTTGTATAATTGAGTTTCCTCTCAGGATAAGGGGAGGGAATATGTGGGATGTAACTGTGATATGATTGGTTGTTTTATCCCTCCCTGTGGGTGGTCCTGTATTTGAAACACTGTAATAAAAACCAGGCTGGGTGTGCCAGCACCTCAGACCACTGCTTGACCCCCAACACGGAGCCTTGTCTCGTTCTTGGGGGGATTCACTGTATGCTGTTAGAGACTGATTGCCAGGAGTGTAAGCTGTTCGTCTGCTTTTCCTGTTCGTCTGCTAGCAGCTATTTGGGAGGTTCCAGTTCGGGAGTTGGAGTGCTATTTTGTATCCAGTTCGTGAGTTTTGGTGTTCTGCAGTAGCTGTGCCTGGATCTCTGGAAAGGGGGCCGATCGCCTAAACGGTTTTTACCCCTTGTGTGCAAAACGGTCCGTTACACTTGCAAATCTTATTCTTTTTGATTTTTAGATGGAATACACTCAATTAATCTTGTATATTTTTATTACAGTTGTGGAGCAGGGTTCCCATTGTTGGTTCAAAAAGGATCTGATAAATATGTTCTAAGGAGAGAACATGCCTCACTTATGCCTCAGAATGAGCAGGTACAGTACATAGCATTACACAAATGATATCAGATTCAGAATGTAAAAATAGAAATAAAGTTGTGGGCTTTCCTAGTAAGAATACAATCCTTAAAGGAGAAACGTACCTGGAGACCCACAACAAAACCTGTTTGGACACTCCAGTTATGTCCTGGGGCTTAACCCCTATAAAGTTCAATGAATAAGAAAAAAGCTTAAATGTTGGAAAAACTAATCCAGCAAAATAGGCTTAAAGCTGGAAAAATAATAATGTAAATAAAAGTACTTTTATTTACATTATTATTTTTCCAGCTTTAAGCCTATTTTGCTGGATCAGAATGTAAAAACACTGCGTGATCACTATTGCAGTCCAGATCAATAACAATTTAGAATGGGGCTGAGGTGACTAGGACCACCTGAAATTCAACATACACTTGCATTATGGAAAATGGATTTCTGCGGCCATCAAGTTTAATTTAATACATGACAAACCATCCAAAGTTCTTTCATAATTCTAACAGTCTACTTTGTATATCCACTCCCTCGTGGATGGGACTAAAGATTGTTTCCAACACCGCAGAATCGATAGACTAGCAGCTGTAAGCAAGTGTTGGATAAGAATAGAGTTGGTTTTTTTGGATAGGAGAATGGAGCAGATAAAATAACAAAGGATTTGGGTTCATTGGTAGCTGGAATCCAGTAATTACCAGCTTAAAACTGAACCGACAGATGGCGAACTCACACAGGTTTATATAAGAGCTAACTTTTCTCCATGAAGAAATGAACCAGCCATTGAACCCTCTTTCTAGCTTAAAGCAGAACCTACAGATGAAATGTTTTTTGCTCAGAATCAACCATTGAACAAAAATAAGACAGAAGCCCTAGCATTACTTGTTCCCATATCCGTATTAGCAGACCTAAAACTAGATCCTGATTACGACTGGAAAATACAATATATTTCTTTTTTGGGGGTATTAACCAATTTAAAAACACTAATAATATGATCCAGCTAAATATAGTGAAGAAATGGCCTGAACTAAGAGGTGAACTACACAGGTGGGGTAAATTTGAGCTGTCATAACTGGGCAGAATTGCCGCTCTCAGGGTAAACATTTTCCCAAAATTACTTTATTTGATCTGTACCATTCCACTGAGCATTCCAATTTTTTTCTTTAAGAAAATTCATTCCGACATAATTAAACTAATTTGGCAAAACAGAAGTAGCAAGATAAGATTGGCAACTCTACAAAGGCAATTGAAAACATGGAGCTCTGGGGGTACCAGATTTTTAAAATAACTACGTCGCAACGAATGCTTCTGCGACCATCAACTTTAATTTAATACATGACAATCCTAAATGGTTACAGATGGAGAGCGAAATATTATCAGACCAGTCCCTTTTGGATCTATTATGGCTACTTAAATCTAGAAACACTGTGAAACACATACTATTCCTTACCACCAAAACAAAATTATATGCCTGGGACAATTTCTTCTCTACTATGAAATCTGATAACAAGTTTTCAAGAGCAATGCCACTCTGTTTTACAAAATGTTTTTCCTGACTTACAGATTAATTTACAAAATTGGAAATCACATAACATAACTTTTCTTAATTACTTTTTTTTAATTGAATTCCTTATTTTCTTTTACCAAGTTACAAAATAAATAAAATTTTTAGAGGAATCATTCTCTACACATTATTATTTATTATTTATTATTATTATTATTATTATTGCCATATATATAGCGCCAACAGATTCCTTAGCACTTTACAATATTATGAGAGGGAGCATTTAACTATAAATAGGACAATTACAAGGAAACTTACAGGAACGATAGGTTGAAGAGGGCCCTGCTCAAATGAGCTTACAGTCTAGAGGAGGTGGGGTGTAAAACACATTAGGACAGGAAATAGCAATCAAATAAGGTGGGAGTGAAGCCGAGCTGGTGGAGAGTAGAATGCTGCTCTTCAGGAGACAGGTATGTGAGGTAGAGGTTACTCTGGGAAGCCATAAGACCAATTAGGAGAGGGTTACAATAATCCATGCGGGAAATTACTAGAGCATGGACAAGCTCCTTGGTAGCATCTTGCACAAGAAAGGGCGGATACGGGCTATGTTTTTAAGATGGAATCTACAGGATTTGGCCACATACGGGATGTGAGGCTCTAAGGTAAGGCCAGAATCAAGTATGACGCCAAGACAGCGCACTTGGAACGATGGACTGATGTGGATGAAACTAACTTGAAGGGAGAGCGAAAGAGGAGGATCAGTTATAGGAGGAGGAAAGATGTGGATCATGCTTGTCTTTCCTCCTCCTAATACTGATCCTCCTCTTTCGCTCTCCCTTTAAGTTAGGTGTATACACATTAGTTTTAGAGAGACTGAGTTTCAGAAAGCGGGAGAACATCCAGTCAGAGATGGAAGAAAGGCTAACAGTGACACGTTGCAGCACATTAGGGGAGAGGTCCGGGGAGGAGAGATATATCTGGGTGCCATCAGCGTACAGGTGGTAGTGGAATCCAAATGAGGTAATAAGTTTGCCAAGAGAGGCAGTATAAAGAGAAAATAGAAGTGGACCAAGGATAGAGCCTTGGGGGACTCCAACAGAGAAAGGATGAAAAAATATTTCCTCTAAATGAAGTGAAATTTTAAACATTCGTTCCCAAGATCAAACATTTGATAACTTGCAATAATCAAATCTGGAAAATGTATGTCTAAAACATCATAACCAACCACATACAATTTCTACCTGTTATTTTTATATGTCCTCGTTCCCAAACAGGAAATTGGAATATATGACTGCCAGGGAATCAGATATAAAAATGGAGGTTGATTTGTCTAAATCAGAGACGCATTACAAGGTATGGCTCAAGCCGTATCGAAAATCACTTAAAGGTCGAAAATCCAATTGTGCAGTAAGTAGATGTACTTGGATATTAAACATTTTTTAAATATCCAAGTACATCTACTTACTGCACCATTGGATTTTAGTCTCTCTGCTTTTTTTTTTTCCCATATGTTCTACTGAAATTACAAACCTGCACCTGTGACGAATCACTGCTGCTCTACAAGAATTTTACCTACCACTGTGGACTATTCTACATTGGACTAGTGATAAGCCATTTCGGACTAGTGTTAAGTCATCTTTGATTTTATCTCTCTATTTTTACTAATACACAATATCTACATTAAAGGCGCACCCTTCTCCTGTTTCTTACATTGAATTAAAGAACTTACTGTTCACTTGCTGCTTAATATATGTTATTCAATTCACCTGGCAATGGTTTTAATATTGTGGCTATTCACTGTAAGTGTTTTAGTCAGCAATAGCTTCTCTGGGTTATTTATACCTTTTGCAGTATTCACCTTTTTTAATTGCTGGAGATGTCTAGGGTGAGGGGGTCCCTATTCTGCTCAAGGGGCCTCTCTAAAGGCTGATAAATATATTTAATTTATGGGGAAAATGGCCTGTCCAATCCAAGAAAGGAATTACCCAAACTTAGTACTGTGTCAAACACCAACCTTGTTTTCGTTTCTCTACCTCAACATAAATGTTAATTGACAGAAAAGTGTAACAAAGACTGGGATGAGGTAGAGGCTCTCAGTTTTGTGTGGACATGTGCATTTCTTTTTGGACAATCTTTATTTGAACGATTTTCACAGAATGCAATTTAAATAATAGTATTACAGAGCCAGATACCCAACACAGTATAGACAGGCTCTTCGAGCACTTGGCAGTCAACTGCGAATATAAAGAGAATAGCCAGTGAGCGACTTTGCTCCAGGATGATTTTTCACCTACCAACAGTGGACAGGCCAGTGCGAACATAAGAATACGTGTATTAAATAACAGTGTTATTCTGTTTTTCCCTCTTAATTTTCCATCTGTATCAGTTGCAGTAGTGACATGTGCATTTCTAGTTTATTTATTTTTATTTTATTCCTGTTTAGGAGCATGATAAGTAGTCCAATATCAATGCCTTTTATAAGTGATGTGTTTTTTTTGGTTTTTTTTTACTGTTGAAGCTGAAGAATCAATTTTATATACAGAAGGCACTGTTTGACTCTGGCTTTCCTGTCCCCAAGCCTTTGCTTTACTGTGAAGATAAGACTGTTGCTGGAACTGAATTCCTTCTGATGGAATATGTTCAGGTTGGTTCCTTATTTTCTCCTCTTTGGTGCTTAAAACAAATATCCGTAGTAGAAAGAGAATCCAGGCATTCCAAGTATCTTCAAATGTATTTATTGGTAAGCCACCGCAACGTTTTGAACCCTGCAAAGGTCTTTGTCAAGCTTTGTCAAGTGTCTCTGTCAAGGGGTCAAAACGTTGTGGTGTCTTATTTGTCCCAATAAATACATTTGAAGATACTTGGAGTGCCCACTGATATCTACTCCCTGGGGCCGGAGCTGGCCCTTGGTCCAGTTTAGCACTTGGATCTGTGTAAATCAGTGGAGAGCTGCTGACTAACATCACTTCCCATGCGCAGGACTCTATCTTTAACAGTATTTCTGCTAACTGGCATCTCAGAGATGTGTTGCATAATTTTATCCTTGTTTGGGAAATCATGAAAAGGGAACTACTCCCAGCCAACATGGCCATTTTGATAAAATCCCCATCAGAAAGAGGCTTACCATGTTTTGCTATCCACAGTGAAATTTGAAAGCTGGCAACTGTCAGATGATTTGATTTAGAAAGATAGTTGGAAAAACTATGATACTGGGAGTGATATTTCCTCAATGTCTCCTTAAGAAACTCTTTTCTTTCAGATTCTCCAATTTTGGCAACACTTTTGTGGTTGGTGTCAAAGTGACGTCTAACACTTGATGTGCGGAACACAACACTTTCACTACACAGAATACATAACGCTTTTCCATTGCGGTGTGTGTATTCATTCCATTGCAGTGTGTGTATTCATGTGTGAGGGGTGCTGTGTGTGAGTGGGTGGGGGGTGATGTGTGAGAGTGGGGGGGTGCTGTGTGAGTAGTAGCTGTATGCCTCAGCTTCAGCTCTCCTCAGCTTCAGCTCTCCTCAGCTTCAGCTCCTCTGTCCTCCCGTGCAATGCTGTGTGGAGCGTTGCCATGGAAACGTGCGGCAACGCTCCACACAGCCTGCTCGCAGGGGGGTCGATCTTCTTGCCAGATCCCTCCCCTTGCCAGCTGCTACCATGTCTTCCGAAGTGGAAGCAGAGTAGGCGCCTGCCATTTTGAGCAGGCAGGTGCCTACTCTGCATTAATGCCGACCCGCGCCAGCCGTCTCCCACCTCCCGGCGACCTATGGCTGCGTGCCCACAGAAAGGGCCCGGCAGGCCACCTGTGGCACGCGTGCCATAGG